TGGAAGATGGAGCGGGTGGTGCGAGGCCGGAGCTCCTGTCGAGGTGACAGCTCTGGCTTGTGGTTGTGGTTCCAGCCCATCGCGTGCACCAGCTCCGAGATGAGGTTTGCCATGGCCATGCTGAACTCAAACTCCTGCTTCACACGGCTCCCCTCCTCAGGGAGCAGGCTGGGTACAGCGCACCCCTGCTGCTCCTCTCCCTGCTCCACACCACCGCTCAGCTTGTCCAGGAGAGAAGTGACACACAGGTAGCGCTTCACCAGGACAAACAGCAGCTTCCCAGGGATCTGCAACAAGCACAGCTGTCAGACTCAGCCTGCAGAGCACCTCCAGCTCCCAGCTCTCTCCAAGCCACCAGCTCATCCACAGTCAGGATCCCAGGAGAGCTCTGGACCAGCTGGCAGCAGCAGAGACCTCTCAGCCCACCCTCGTCTCCCTGCTCACAGAAAGGCTTCCATGTGCCCCTCCTCCACTGCCAGCCTCACGCCAGGCCCAGATCCTGTGCCAGCTCTCCCAATAGCCAGTCCTGCTCAGCTGCCCAACTCCAACTACCTTCTTGTCCCAAACAAGGACACCGCCCTGGCCCTCCACTCCCACCCCTCCTGGCCCCTGAAGCCCCACAGGCCCAGGGCTGGCAGGGCCTGCCACTACCTGTGGAAGGTGAATCCCCTCAAAGGACATGCACTGCTCTTCAGAGGATGTTATCTCAGCAAACAGCTCCAGCAAGGTGCAGCGACTGTCAAAGTCCATGTGCTGCTCAATGCCATCCTGCTGGCTCAGGGACAGCAGGACATAGGCCCGGCTCTCTGCAACAGCAACAAAAACTCTTCAGGCCCCATAAAGACAACCCGCACCCCACCCTCCCTGCGAGAGACAGATCCACAGGCAAGGAACAGCTTTGCTGCTCCCTGTCACCTGAACCATGTTCTATCCTTCCATCTGGAGTGGCAACATTTTGCTCCACAATGTATTTTTTCTACCCCTGAAGCTGCAAGATTCACCCAAAGCAGCAACCCAAATAACTGACTACAGATCAGGGCCCCAGGGAAGAAAAGAAGTTTTAACCTCAATCAGCCCCTCATCTGCCCCACTTCAGAGCTGCATGAACTCAGACACTAGGACAGGGAAAGCCAGATCTCTTGTGGGATACACCACAACCAGCAACCTTCCAGGTGCACCCAAGCCTCATCAGGCACTTCCAAGTCATGGCAGCTCCTCTTAAATGAGAGAACTGGGTGAGGACCAGCCTCTATCCTCCAGGCTTCTGCCAAGCCCCTTGGTACCAGTCTTCATTGCAAGGGTATGCGGAAGGAGACTGTCTGTTCCTCTAAGTGTATCTAGTCAAGGACCTTTTCACTGCAAAAAGTGAAAGAAGGAAACCATAAACGATAACATAAAGAATCACAAACGTGACTGACAAATGCTAATGGAGGCAGTGAGGAGAAACAAATCTGGTCAGTCACAATAATTAGTAAGGACATCTGGAGTTTAAGAATGATTATTTTTCAGTAAGATTATCTGAGTAATTGGAATTGGCAAGGAACACAAAAGAGGGTGCACAGAAAGGAATATAAAAGGCACTAGTTGTGTTTAAAGCATGGCTAGCCAGTGCACTTGTTTGACAGCCCTGTACTTCATTGACACAGTTTGTCCTACTTTTTTACGTCCTCTTATTAAATCTTTTCTAACTCTCTCTGCCCCATGTGTGTGTGTACTGCAAGCACTCTGTGCCAGCTACTGGTGAGACCTGTGTGAATTGCATTCGGTACTAGGAACTGGAGCCTAACTGGGGGCGTGGGAGCCCTGTGGAGTCAGCAAGTGGAGAGACTGACAGTTGGAAATGCCATTGCCCTCTGGACCTGGGGAGGGTCTCACGGATTTGAGCCTGGAGCCAGCTACTGGGAAGACTGGCGTACAGTGGACTCAGTACAAGCTACTCAAGTCTGATCAGGGTGTAGGTGTCCCTGGTCTGAGGTGCCAGCTACTGGGGCAAGTGCAAGGCTCTCAGTGTTAGTGACTGGAGCAGGGAGGGTCCTCGGCCATCAGCCACTGGGGACCGAACAGTGTGTGTCCCAAAATACAGCTACTGGAAGGGAGGCAAGCTACTGGAAGGTCAGCACCAGCAGCTGAAGCAGGACTGCAGTGCCTGGTGCCAGCAGGAAAGGGCGAGTATCTCTATCTTCCCCAGTCCTGCTGGGCACGGAGTGTGCATTTAACTTGTTAGCAAAACTTCACGCTGGATTAGCTGGAAAGTAGGAGGTCCTGGGTCCAGACCGAGGTATGAGGCAGGTGGTGGTCTGTGCTGGAAGTCCCAAGGGACTTGTGAAATGTGGACTGTGGGAGGAACAAGTGTCTGAGTGCTCTATGTTTGTCAGCAAGCATCGAGCTTGACAAATGGATGAGCAGGGCGACTCCTGAGGCTGGTAGGCGAGCTTGGATCCAGGCACAGGTGCAGGACAGACAGAGGGGCCGTGCTGGAACCCAAGGGATCCATGAATGTGTGTGTAACTGTGAACCTGGAAAGTGCAGTGTGTGCTGGCAGGAGCGACCTTCTGTCTCGGCTGGACGAAGAGCAGGAGGGGACATGGCTGTCTGTGCTTGTGTTTATGTGAGTCTCGTAAGTACGTGCTGTTGAAGACGGCACCACTGTCCATGCTCAGCCTTGTCAGTGTCCTGCATGTGTCTGTGCTCTGGGATAGCTTTGCTACTGGTTGAACCTGCAAACAGGAAAGCGGCAGCTGCACCCCTCAGGCTGAGGAACCCCAGACTCCTCAGGCTGGGCTCTAGTGGCAGAGCAGGAGAGGTGCTGGGACTGCTGGAGGAGACAGCCACCCCTAATATTCTTTAACACTCCTAACAATTAATTAGCATCCCAGCTCAGAAACCTGTCAGGGGTTTTTAACTCTTACAGCACTCCAGACAACTACAACTGAGGAAGTTTGGAAGATCCAGACTGATTCTTCCCCTTTTGCCAACAAGCCCCAAGGCATGCTGCTTCCCAGGCATCTCACCCCCACAAAAGGACTGTCACCCCTCAGCTGCCCAGCAGCACCTCCACAGAGGCACTGAGCAGCAGCAGCCCCCACCTGCATCCTGCAAAGCCAGGGTCCGCAGCATCTTGCCGGCACTGTGGCGGATCTGCTTCTCCCGGTGGCACAGCATCTTCATCAGCACGTCCAGGGCTCCCGTCTCCCTGAAGGCACCCGCCAGAGAGCCAATGCCGGCGTAGGCGCTCAGCACGTGCACAGTGTTCAGGATGGAGCACTTGGGCGTCCCGGCCTCGGCCAACTGCCGCATGGCTCGCTGCACCAGGCTCCTGACATCAGCCTTCATCTCCAGCAGCGAGGCTTCGTCCAGCGGGACATCTGCAGCCAATGGACTTGGTGCCTTCTCCTCTTTCACCCACGGCCCTTCCAGCTCCCTCTTGCCCAGCAGTGCTGGGCAGCTGGCACAGACCTCTTCTGCAGACATCCACATCGAGATGTTCTCTGGCTTGGTCTCTGCACAGGAGGCACTGCTGCCTCCCACTGCTCTCTCTTCCAAGCTAATCACACTCCACTGGATCAGGTATTCAGGCCGGCCGTTGTGGCCTCGACGCTGCCGGAGCAGCTTCTCCGGGTGGGCCTGCAGTTTGGGTCCCAGCTGCACGAGCAGGTTGCCATTGTGCTTCTCATTCACCATGGCAGCAGATGTGCCTGCAGAGACAGAGGGGAA